TTGAACACCGCAGGGTACCAAGATACATATACTAAGCTGTGAAGCAATCTCCGGTCATGCGACTCTTTGTTCAATACTGTATACAATGTATTCATGTGTCTCTGTAAATTACATTATTGATATGAAGAAAAGTCATTATAGAGAGGTCGTTATTCGACCTTCTGCCCAAAAATCACGGTCATATGTTGCAACTGTTAGGAAGTCATTCGTGGGAGGTCAGATCAATGTAAAAATTGTTTCATGCAAAGAAAAAAAGTCGTATTTAATATGAAGTCATTATTGGGATGGGTCGTATCCACCAGGGCCAACTGTATGAACATGAAATTTGTAATTTAAAGTTTACAGGTATTGTAAAATGACTTTTATGATGTGCTGCTTCTGCTTCATAACAATTTCAAAGTTTTGAAATACTTTATAGTGCACACATTGAAGAGAGGGTTGTGCTTTAGATAAATAATTTTGAAATAAATTCGTAACAAATATAACATTCTGAGCTTATCTCAGTCTAAGTTCAATAAATATAGGTATAAACAGACTTAAGATAGGTAAATTAATTCAGAAACAGTACAATAATCTAAATTTGATACACTTAAAGTAATTGGATTAAAAACACTTCATAAATCCAATACTTTAAAATTAGCTCACTCCAAATATGTGGACTGAAGACATGATCTAAAATTCTAAATATAATTACAGACAAAAATTTAAGTTGTTTTATAAGGAATTGCAACTTTTAACTTACTTCACTCCAGGTACGTGGACTGAAGACATGGACAGACTTTAATCCCAGTAGCAATAGTTGCGATCCAAATCCTGCCATTGAATAGAAACAAGCTCTTTCTCCTGCAACAGCCTAAGTATGAAATTTGATTTTTCCTTAGTTTAAACAAGATCAATATATAACAAATAATAACAATATTGCTTAGTTACATTCTTGATCACAGATACTATAAACTCATGTTTTTTCTTATCCTCAAACTTTCACTTGGAAGTTGTGCAAGTTTGTTTAAATTTCTTGATTTGAAATTATCAAAAATTTTGACTTTTAGCATAAACAACAATATAACACAATATATTCACTGTACAATTTTCAGATTTATTTTGGCTCAACTATTTGGTTTACTAATTTTTGATAGCTGTGAATTATGTTAATCGATTTTCATTATCACTTTAAAAAACACCCAATAGACATGATGAAGGTTAATTATCCTCAACTAGGAACATAAAACACTCTTATCCAAACATCATACGTGGAGTGAAGCCACTAGGAACTTATACTCTAAATCTTTAACTGTGTATCTTGCTGTTCAAAACAAAATCATTCATCTATATATTAATATTATATGGGATCAGGTTCTTACATAAAAATAAATATTTAATTTGATTATAAATTTCCTAACAGTTTTTATAATTTTTCAACCTTGTGAAATTTTATATTTTCTACACTCCTAATATTTTTTTATGTAAAACCAAAACTGTGTTCAATTAGTATATAAGTACTATAAATGTTAATTTTCAAAACTTTTCTATAAGAATCCAAAACTTATTATTATAATATTGATTTTTTTCCTCCTTACCATGGCTTTACTAACATTCCCACCAGTTGCTAAACCTTTGTAGTGACTAGTACCATATACAAGTTGAACATCTCCAATGTCAAGGACCTGTACAGATGTAGAGAAAAAAAAACAGCTATTAATTTTATAATTTTCAATTCTATTGCAATCTTAAGGTATTTAGTTTGCTTATAAATATACAATGAATATGTTTATTATACTTGAAAAACATGCTTTATGAACAACCACTGTCATGAAGAATAGTTACTGAAAACACATAAACATGTAAAAGAAAAAAAAAGATACGTACTTTCCAAAGACATAATCTCATACTCAAAAATATATCAATTAGTATATATTTATATTATCTTGAGTTCTTACCTCTAATTCTTCTGCACTGCGAATATCAATAAGATGCAACTGTTCAGATGTGTCCATCGTAACCAATGTACGACAATTTAACCACTGGATGGCCAAGGTTTATAATATATAAAAAAGCAATTGTTTCATTAGATTTTCTTAGAATAATATTTGTTTTTAAGATTAAGTTCAGGTCAGAACTTTAAATACACCAATAGGTTTTCCTCAAATATCATTATAAAATAAAATAATTACACCCCTTAGTTTAACAAATTTGCTATATACACTTTATAACTTCACTCCTTCTTCTTGTGCTTCAGAAAAATTGTAATTGTATAAAATATGAACATCTTTAAAACATAACTTTTGCAAAAATAAATTGGAATGCTAATATTCCAAGAAGTGAAGTCATGTAGTGTAAATGTGTATGTGTACTTCTAACATTTTTTAACTTGAAAATGGATACCTAGCTCTAGATGTATATTTAACCCTCTATTAACATTTTTATATACTATTTTGTAACTATATTGTGTGTGAAGGGATGGCAAATAGGCAGCATGTGTGCCAAACACAATGTGCAATGAAATTTTAATAGCACACTGAAACTTAGCAATAGTGAAGGAAAGTTTTGAAAAAAAGAAATAAAAGAAAAACGAATATAAGAATCTATGTTTTAGTTTGAGTCCTTAATAACTGAAACTCATCCTTGGTTTACTCTGCATCATGCCTAAGCTCAGTGAACTCTGCAAAATGATCCAAAAAAGATCACACAAATAAATACAGTATTTATATGTATACATGTTACATTGTAACTCTAAAAATGAAAATATTGATATATGTATATATAAATACATGACACACTTGAAACTATATGGCACTTTATTTTATTTTGGCACACCAGTTAAAACCTATTTGCCATCCTTGCTACATCCTATAGCCCTTTAACATATATTACACATATATACTTAGAATATGACTAGCCACACATATATCTCCAGATTCATCACTCTACCTGAATTCTAAGATTTAATCTGAAGCAGTTTTGTAAACAGAGCTATCTTACTAAAGTTAGTTTAAATTTTCAAAATATTGAAATACTTAAAAACATTATCAGTTACTGAAAACTTCTGTTGCTTGAAAAAGTGAGACACACACACGGAGGGGTTAGAAGGTTCCTAAGAACACCTCATAGTTGAATCAGTGACACATGGAAATATGTGTACATCACTTTAAGCACCATGACACCTAACCCGGAAGGTTTATACACCAGAAGAGTTCCACATCTCAGACCATTAAAAGAGCTGTGACAAAGGATAAGAATTTTCAAGTGAGAATGTCAAGACCACATTTAGTCACATATTTCATGTAGGCATCATAAGTAGCATTTCCATCAGTCTGACTGGCTGAAAATTCTTTGTGAGTGATAATTGTCTTAGTGCATGTATACTAAGTCAATTGTAATTCAAAAGTGATATATTTAAAAATTCTCAATCTTCATTTTTTGTGTCTAAACTTTGATTTCTCTACTTCAGAATTTTCTAACATCAAAAATAATCTTCTAAAGTTTCTAGTCAATCAAAAACACAAACCATACATAACTGCAAGTGTCTAAAATATGAATCATAAAATAACACAATATCCTGTATAGTAGTTAAAGAACAAAAAGCCACAGTAAATGGAATAAACTGTCAGAAGTCTTTATGTTAGAGAAACATGTTTCAACAGATTCATGTGTCTTCTTCACTCTCACATTATCTGATGTGTGAAACAAACTTTAATGTTTTCATAAAAGCTTGCCAAATTTCATGGACTATAATTCATGCTTAGTAAATTTGGAATTATAGTGAATATTAGCTTCACAGATAAAGGTTCAGTCAATTTGACAGAGCCCATGAACAGATGGTTAATAAAAATAATGCAGCTATGTTGAAAGATTTTTTTTTTCCCACTTTATTTTTTTCTACATAAATATGTGCATGTTTATTGGTTTATTAAAAGCTAAAAGTGAACAGATGTCAGGCAATGGATGTTTCATTTTGTATGGTGATCAGTAAAGTAACTGGTCACTGTGACTGGCAGTGGTTTTTGCTAGTGGAAAGACTGGATAAGTAAAAGAAACACTGTACAGTGGGTACATATAATCTACAGTCGAAGGCATTGCTCAAACTTGAAAATGCAGAAAATAGCTTTTATGTACTGAAAATCCCTCTATTTATGTGGAGATTGCCAGGCTCACACAAGGTCACATAGTTCATAAAAAAAAAACACATTAACAGATAGTTCACATATAAAAAAAAACAAAAAAAACACACACACACACAGACTGCAAAGTTGATACCTTAAAACATTACTCAAATCTTAAAGTGAAGAAAATAGTTTCTGGTTTTTAAAATAACCACAGTTCTAAGGTCATCCTGTGACACTACTGGAGTACAAAGAAAACAGTTAAAGTAATCAGTTGTAAGCTCCCAAAAAAAAAAAAAGGGATTTAATCTGATCAATCACTTAAAGAACACTGGAGACATATATTTGAGAAATGGGAGTTCTTCCACAGCACCTTTCCAAACTTTCACAATTACACTAATTGCAACATCTATGGCGAACTGGAAATTTCTGAGGTTACACTGACTATAAATGAAACACAGTCACCGCAATGAGATAATAAGGATATCAGTGCAAAGCCCAAAATATTATTTATATCAATTCTTTAAAGGCACTACATATATATGATTCAATGCCAGAATAATCTACTGAACCAAAATATATCTAAACTAACTGCTCCCAAGTTTCTCAGCAGTAAGTCTGAAGGCTTACAATGCTAAAAACCAGGTTTAGGTACCCTTGGTGGATAGTTTTGTGCTTAACAACAAACACAGACAAAATAAAACAAAGGAATGTATTTTCCAGTATTTAAACTTAAAAATGAAATTATTTCTAGTACTAGGTTTATATAAAAATAAATTTAATTCAAGTCACTTATATTACCATAAAGTTCTGTACAACATGTTGTAGGTCCATCTTCTGAAGAGGAATAAAGTTGATCTTTTCTGCTGTTGCAAAGCTAACCTTAAAAAAACAAAACAATGAAGCCCAATATTTAAAAAAATTATCAAACCATTATATATGTACATTCAGCTTAAATATCAATACATAAAAAAATCTAACACTGGAAAATGTTTAATAAAAATTATATCTAAATTAACAATAATGCTGTAAAAAAATAAAACACTTAAAGATCTTTAATCAAAGGATTTTGATTTATTTATGTATAATAATAGATTATATTGATAAAAAATTTTTTTAAATTTTAGTTTTAAATGCAACTTATTCTAAGGAATACAAACACCGTGTTTTTAATATAAATCATTCACAAGGTATCTTACTGCAGTTTATACTCTGTTGCAGTACATATGGTCTTGAAAATTTAAATCTTTGTGTAAGACTAAGGAAATATGTTCTGCAATTAAAGATATTTCCATAACACACATGTTTTCAAATACTGTTAATTGTTAACTGCTTGACAAGAAATTACTGAGTCAGTAAATATTTTACAGCAGTTTCTCAAATGGAGGGTTGCGACCCCTTTGAGGTCATGAGCAGGTTTCCAAAGGGGTCACAAGCTGTCTGCACTGAGTCAAGATTTTTTTTTGTCCTTGAGGTGCACATATCACCTTTGTTATGAACTATGACAACTGTTTTTTCATTCTTGTAGAGATAATGGGGGGGGGGGATGACAACCAAAACCCAGATGCAGGGGTAACCTGGCAAATCTGGCTGAGAAACACTGCTTTATAGACAACCCAAGATTAATATATTTATTCAAACATCACTTATTTTTTATTTCCAGAAAATTATAAAACATATTTAAAGTTAAGTGAGCAACATTTACTACATTTTTTAAAAACAAAAATCTACAAAGGAAGTTTAGAGAATAAAACCAAACTACTACTATTTTGTGACAAAGCTACAGGGAAGCTTCAAAGTCAATACACTGTAGATGTATTACAAGTTTTGTTTAATTTATGTTTTCTCCATTTGTGTTAGGATAAACTTTTAAAAATCTTCAACCATTACTCCTCAAGAATCAATGAACTGATGCAAAGCATTTATACTAAACAACTTTGCTTATTTATGAACAATAATCACGTTTATGTAAATCAGTAAATGAGTTTAAATGATTTTCTCTTTTCATTAATGAAACACACATGGCATCCCCACAACATGCCTATTCTTACACACATTATGTCACTAAGCACAGTATAGTTAATGCATGATGTAAGTGGTCTTTGGATCCTTCTTACTCATACTGAATTTTCATGGTAATAATTATAGGTTATAAAAACATAATAATATAATGTTTCAATTAACCATCATTTTTAAAAGTTCCATCATCATTAGCTTAAATATGTAATACAAAACTTTTTTGCACCACAAACTACTATTTTTATAAAACTTTTCATGACTTATAGTTAGGTACAATATATATAATATGAGAATTTATCTTGTTACAACAAATGCATTTGTAAATTATATCTTTTCATGCATTTAATTATTATTTTACATGTGCTTAAGAGCAATGGTAACTTAAGAGAAAAAGAAATAAACACCAGGGCACCTGATAAAAGTAAAGAACACTTTGCCGTCCAAATGCAAGAACAGGGTCTATTACACGCTGATTGGCTGAAATCTGAATAAGAACAAACTGCCATCCTAACACTGGAAGTGTGTCTTGGTTAGCCTGTAACACAAGAAAAAAGAGTACAAGTAACACAAGTACTAATTAAAAAAAAAGGTTTAAACTACTTTTCAAAAAATTTCAAGAGAAGAAACACTGAAACAAATTACCTTCAGAAGCTGAGTAAAGTAGACTCGAAGTGTAGGTCTTATTGTTACAACAATCACCTACAAATAAGAAAAATAAAAATTTACACAGGATAAAGTTGGTTGCAAGAAACACCCTCAAATCATAAAATGTTTAGGTATACACAATGTATTGTATTTTAACACAATAAACCATACACACAACCCAAAATATTCATAGGTGCAGGAAGTACATATTGTTTTTTTGTACCATAAAATACCTACTTTTGTCACTGTTGCTAAAGCTAGCAGACAAACATCTTGACCAAAGTGATGTTTGAAATTGACTGTCATCCTTAGAGGCTCTAATGCACATACTTCTCCACGACTGAAATAAGACAATTATTAAGACTTAAACCCAAATATTCATTAAAATACATCATGTATCAATGCAAGATACAAAACATTATAATAAAAACTACCTCATGTAGAGAACAATCCCAATTCTTTAATACAAGTAAAATAAGTTTACTACCACGAAATATTTTTTTTCACAAAATTCTGAATTATTTATGATGTTCATCAATATTATACAAAACATATTAAATTCAACATTATACATTAATGGGAAGGAGGAGAAGTATCCTTAATATCAACAATGCAAAAGTTGTGAAATAATTTTGATATTAAGATAAGAGAATTTTAAGTATTTTTATACTGTGCACCATTGCAAAAATTGACAACAATTTGCTTACAATATCTCATTTGCTACACACAGTGTGAACAGGACATAGCTGACTTACAACAAACTTTCTGACTCACCTTCCAGAAAAAATACACCGTGATTCACAGGTTCTGTTTCCCATGACCCTCCTGTAAAAGAAGTGTAAAAGTATTACATTAGTCAACAATGAACATTAAATGCATGGGCGGGGGTCAAAGTACACATGCAAAACCTTTCACAAAGTGCCATTAAACATGTTATTTTATATTTGATGTCAAGTTTATCAACTATCCATTTGACTCAACATTGCTGATTTAGCAACAGTTCATGACAGAGAAGAATAACAACAATACAGCATATAGGGATATTAAATAAAACTGTACATATGCATTGTGGAGATTCTAGAAGTTATGCAAATGCAATATGCAAAATGGACAAAAGTATTTTTATTCTTCACATGAACATCACCTTGCACTCTGACATCGGTAATTCATGGAAATATCTTGCATACAAATATATTTGTTACACATTTGATTTTTTTGTGTGCAATAGCTTCGCACATTTGATTAAAATTGTGCCCCATTTCCATTGATACACGTAATAAATTAATTATAGTCAACATTTTCTTCTCAAATATGGAGTTGGTTCAATGGACAGAACCTATGCACATCCGGTTAAACATTAGGTACAGAAAATTTCTGGTTGAACCAAAAGATGTAGAGATGCTTCTCTAATTTTTATGCATTAACTTTTTTTTTTACCATAATGTCTAATGGGTTACTACAGGCAAACTGAAAATATGGGAACAATAAACCAGTTAGTCAAAAGGGACAGAGTTCTAATAACATAAATTTTCCTAAAAGAAACTCCTTGGGGTGAAGGAGTGATGACCCTGGATAAATTTTATAAGCATTAGAAGTACTGGAAATACACTTGTTAATTATGACAACCTCTTCCTTGAAACATCAGTGACAACTGATCATCATAGGATCGTATACAGTGACATAGTTCACAAAATATAAAACCAGCATTTAGAGGAGTATACTGGAATCAAAGGTTTGACTGTTCTGTTCCATGTTACTGTAGATAAGGTATAATGTTAACTAATACTTTTCAGAATTCCCAGTATTTTTTTAAGTGTTTATTTTAAAACCCAAGTGTTTTTGTTAGTACACTAAGAAGTAAAAATCTCCCAGAAAAATGTTTAGCAGACTTCCCTCACCTGAAGTTTAATTCAAACACAGAACCTCCACTGTCACTACACACTGCCAGAGTGGGGTCATCTGTAAACTGTATAGATAACACATATATTAATATAAAAACTGTTAAATGAACAGTGTTTGCAATTATGATTACCTACACCAAAGAGTATGTGACAAAAATAAGTGTTAGAACAAAGCATTAAAACATTTTTAAGAAGTCTAGACTTTTTCAAGAGAAGGAACATCCATAGTTATTTTTCTCTAAACATCAACACAGTTCTTTATATGACAGAGCAGGGTATATATTTTCTTCAAACAAATGGTAATTCCAGTGTTTTGAAGAACAAATGAAACTTGAAATTACATTGAAAAATATGGAATAAAAATCAAATTAAATATTTTTCACGAAATTATACAAATTATTAAAATATCAGCATGGTTCAATACAAAATATGTTCACAATGATAACATACAGATCTTAAATATTACCTTAACATGCAATACTGCTGTCTGCAAGGGATGAACATCCGTTATTGTTCTCAACAACTTGCCATTTGTCAGATCCCACATTGTCAACTAAGAAAAAGATGCAAAACGTTTAAGTTAAATTATCTGTTCTGCTATGCTATTCATATCTTGATAAGATTCTCAGGGAAATAACTTTGGTAACACAAATCCCTACAAATATATAAAATAACAAAGTTTGTTAGCTTTTTACTGAAATGAATAGCTTACAATATTACAGTTATTAGAAATTTAAGCATCTGGTTACCCACAGGATTTAAATATCAAGTTTTAAAAAAGTACAAGAACTTTTATATTGAGTTTTCTCTTTCCATTTAGTGCAAAATGTCACAGGATAATATATTCTTTGAGAAATTTAAAAGAATAACAGAACTGAAGTCAAGAGAAAAGGTTAGCAGGAAGTTGTCTTTCAGGAGAAGGAAGAAATTCTTTATAGACTGTACAAAGATCCTGGAGTGAACCACAGTTAGGAGTTATGATAAACTGTAGTGCTAACGGGGCTTCATGACCATGTAATGGAAATAGCCACAATTCCATGATGGGTGGACACATGGGTGTTAAGAAAACTACTTACAAGTCCCTCAGTAACTTATACTGGCCTGGAGTAAAAAGAGATGTGACATCTACAAAAGAATTACACACAATGGAAAGGTCCCAAAGGCTCCACTGGAAAGAATGCCAGTGATTAATAAGACCTTCAAAAGAGTTGCTACTGATCTAATAGGTCCCATATATTCACCATCCAAAGAGGACCATGTGTATACAGTAATCCTTATGGACTATGCAAACAGATATCCTGATGCCTAAACAATGTAACTGCAATGGTCAATATATATATATAGCCATCTAAATGTACAAAAAAAAAAAAAGAGTTCTTAATGACACTGTTTCTGAATGCACCAAAGAGGTAGGACAGTAAATAATTTTTGACATTACTTCTCCTTTCACAAAGAAATTACTAAATTTCTTTAATAACATAACTAATTTTATGTAAGAGATTTGTTTATATCATGCATCTACTTTATACAATATTAGGTACCTTAGAATGTCATTCAACAACCTGCATACAATAACAAACCATAGAATGTTGTTCAACAATAAAAGTACAACAACTAAACTTGGAATGTTGTACAACAATCAACATAAAATCTAATGAAATTTTTAACCTCAACATTATATCAATATTTTGCATAACTAATAGACTAAGTAATGATTTTAAACCTTCTGTAAATACACCATCCATTGTAATGTTAGTTAACACAGAGTGTTACATAAAACTGTCCTTTCTCAAGGTTCTAATCAAGTAATCAGCCTCAAGAATATCCTATTTCTGATTGATTATATTTTGATAGGTGTGAAGGAATATTGCCCATCTGATACTTCTGTAGGATAAATTCCATCCCAATGGAGGTACACCATAAATTTCTTTATTCCTCAGAACTAGATACTCTTTCTTATTGGTAGAATACCCTTTTTCTCTTTCACACAGTTTCTTGCCAGCAAAACTGACTGGAAACAACTTACCATCATGTTCCTATAATAACATTGCTGCAATTCCAATGTCAAAAGCATCAGTCCTCAGAATGAGCTGTTGGTTAATGTTTGTTAACCTAAGTATGGATTTACTGGTAAGCAGGATCTTTAGTGTCATGTAGGCATTCTCCTAGGCCTCACTTCACCTCATTTTGTTTTGTTAACCCTTCTTTGTTAAATATGTAAGAAAGACTACTTTGGCTGTTTAATGAGGGATGAAGTTATTAGTTCTGGATCTTGGTGCAGCCCTTATTTTAGCTATATTGACTTCATGCAAGCCATTCTCTCCCTTGCTCATCTGAAGACCAATAAAGTTCACACACTATCACTACCAACCATCTATTTTGTGGGCCTAGCCATAATTTTACACCAGTAAAGCAACTACTGGAGTACTAAATCCTCCTCCCAAATGGTAATGTGTACCAGAATATCATCAATGTAGCTGTCTATACCATCACTTCCATCCAAAAACTTCTGCTACCAGTGGCATCTTAAGGAACTTGTATGTCCTATCTGGTATCAAAAAAGCAGTCTTTGGGACATCTTCTTCAGGTACTGGAACCTGTTAATAGCCCTTACTATAGTCAGTCTTTGTAAAGACCTTCTTCTTGCCAAGCTTCTGAAACAAATCTTAACATGAACATTGGTTCTGATCAAACACAATTACCTTGTTCAATTTTCTGGAGTCTATACACATATGGTTGGAACAATCCTTCTTTCATAATCATCACTGGATATGCAAATACTGAATTTAATTATTAATGACACTCATTTGTATCATCTCTTGAATATCCTGTTTTTGGAATTATTTAATGCTGTATTGCACAGGGTAGGGTTTTGAATTTACCAGTTCATCATTACTAAGTGGTATGTAATGCTGGATAAAAGTGGTTATCAGAGGAAAACATCAGTAAAAATCTACCTATAATGACTAATTAGAAAATGCAACTCCTTTTTCGGGAATGAGTCCACTGTTTCTTTTTGTATATCTTTTTGAAATTACAGCTGTCAAGATTCAACAAGTCCTCATCAACAACTGCATCATCCAATGTACCATCAGTTCTTTAAGTGATGGATGAAGATGCCACTTCTAAATGTGGACCACAGGCAATTACTAATACAACTGGATGTCTTCATTGACCCCTAGATGATCATCACACTGAACATATTGCTTCAGAAGGTTAAAATAATCATTTCTTACCACCAGCAATGTCCACTTTATAAGGCTCTTTCCAATGCATAAGCAGTTTATCATCATCAGTGGGGGACACATTACAAACACAAAACCATCTGGTGTGAAATTTCTAGCGTTTGTTTTCCAATCCAAATACCACTTGTATTTCTTCTGGGATTTCTAAAAATTAAGTTCACAAGTTTGCTCTACACAAGACTTAGTGTTCCCACTGAACTTACTTTAGGACACCTGCTTTATCTTATGTACTCAAATGTGTATTTCACTGGCTAGACTCTATATCTGTAAGAAATGTATTAGTGGTTAAAGAAATATCTGCTTAATTTCCATTTCACATATAAATATTGCACAAGACTTGTTGCACTTACCACCCTATGTTAGCCTTAATATGAAAGATAGAATTATACTTCACTACAACTAACTGAAATAAATAAAAGTACAGACACACCTGTCCTCTAGCATAACCACACAGGAGACGAGAGCAATCTCCATTAAAAGCTAATGCTGAAACAGATCCATAGTCTTCACTGTAAGAAGTATTACCAAGACACCACTTCAGGACCTGTTTTGGGTCTAAATATTGAATAAGTATTAGTCCGAGCTTACAAAAGGATTTCTTATTAAACACAAACATGTATGAAGGCCCATAACAACATATATCTGAATTATTACATAGGTGCCATTTAAGTCTGTATAGGGTTTGCATCTTGAAAATATGTTACTCAATATGTTATTACCCAAATAACACTTGCAGATTTCAGGAATCAAGTAGTTTTTTTTTAATCAGAACCACAGTCTTCCAACAGGTTTAATAGCCAGTTAGATGTAGCTAATTTCCTTAAACATATGTAATTATTTCATCAAAGGTTACCCTACATACCAAATATTAAAACAAGACCATGAAAAGTCCCCACTGCAATCAGAGATGAAACAGCCTGCAATACAAGAAAGATATTTATTAGTTGTTAAAATACAAGTTACTCTAACATTAACATGTGCTTAATACTTAGCATGACACAGTTTGTTTAAAATAAAAATTATTAAAACATTTTCAAAACTTACCGAGTTCTTAGTACAGAAAAATATTTTCTGGATATTTTGCCATGTATCAGTTTGATGATAATACTGGATAACATTATTAGATAATTTTTACTAGACCAAGGACGCTGATATCTGTAGGGCATTTGCCTATTAAAATGTTTTCTAAAGCTCTTTTTAAATCTTTTTGCTACTGAATGATGTTATGTCCCATCAAGAGTACATAAAGGTCAAGTAATGCTACTATTAGATTAGTTTCAAGGTGATGGAACTGTGGCTGGTTCTTGCTAGTTTGTGTGTTGTGTGCACTCACTATAGACCAAATGTTACATACATGGCTATAAACTTAAAAGACCTACAAACTGTATAACTGAAACACACATATGTACTCATATTTAAGTACATAGCAAAAATGACTTCCTTACCTTGGTGCATGTTCATTGGTTGGTAAAAATCTGCCATTAGATACCAGTAATTTTATATTGTGCTGTAGATTATTTTCACAGCATGTCTTTTGCAATTTGTATTGCATTTTAATTCTTATCATTGATAGTAAGTAATTATATTCAAATTTATACTGATCACTTTGTATTATACATGCATATTTACATTAGTGTAAAATACATTCCTCATAATATTTACACTCCTGTGGGCATGTGTAGAAAACTTGTAATATATATGGATTTATTTTTACTTTGGTAACATTTTATTATGGTTCCCTACCCTACCATTGCAAATTTTCTTCTGTAACCTCTGTGGATAATCTATTATGTAGCAGTGATGATACTAAAAGGAGGGTTTTTCTGGTTAACTTGTAAGGCACACACGTGAAAACAATGATAACTTATCAAGTTTGTCTACCAGTGATGTTTATATAAAATATAAATAATTGGATAAAACAGAATATATCTTTTAGAAACACCTAAACAACTGTAACATAGCCTACTTAAAAATATAAAAGACTAAACTTTAAGTACCACTGATAAGAACATAGCTTTCTGGACTATATGATTAACAACATTAAGCATCCTAATAAATATCTTTTTTTTAGAGAATATTAATTTCATAGTGAATTTCAACACAATATATTAGAATGGTGGATAAATTAATAGAACAAAACATTTTTGTAAGTGCAGTATGAACAACTTTCCACAAAAAAAAGTTACTAGCCTTGCACCCATTTATAACATACTATTCAATACATTTACCATGCTTGCTTCCCATCATACTTACCATGGCAGTAGGCTTTCCAGCATTAATCCTTTCTGAAGCTGACTGAATCTGAGAAGATACTCCCCTGAGTACCACATGTCGAAGGATCGAGCCATGAATGCCATAATGGGGTATTTTATGAAATCTGCAAATTGCAACAACATCTTTGCAATATTGTTATGCAACAATATAGTCATTTTATACAAAATCATTTTATTATTGTTACTGTTTAGAAACAGTCTGTTATTAGATTATTTAAAAAATATGACAAAGCATAAAGAAAAATAATAAAAACTTTTTTCAGAGCAAGTAACTATCAGATTTTTGTCACTAAATAATGTTACTTCAGATTTAATATTAAAACAATGCATTCATGGCTAAAATGGGATAAAATATATATATCCATGATTAAAGATATACAGCCTTAAGAGCCATCAAGTAAATTAATATACATGTATTTGTACTAACAAAGACTGTTTAACCCTAGTTAGTTTTGACAATCTTTTAATCTGATTCTGTTTTTTTCAAGCATTCCACCACAAATTATTTCCAAAGATTTCATCTGGTCTTGTTAACAGAAACAATGAAATCAATATCATTTTATAAAGATCCTAGCTTGTTCATTTACATAAAGTCTACTTGCAATTAAGTTTTTGTTCAACATCCCTCATCACTCCCTTTTTTGCAGAAACATTCTCTCTCTCTCTCTCTCTATATATATATATATATATCATATAATAGTAGAACTCTTAAAATGTTTTTAAATTTGAATGCCTCAATTTAATTTTTTATCATAATTAAATACATCTTTTTCTTCAAAGAATGCAATTAACACCTACTTTTAAAGATCGCATCTGAAGTTCTGACATCAAAGAACTTCTTTAGTATTTTTAGAGGTCTATTTTGTACCTATTAATTTTAAAGATCTCATCAATGATTTTACTTTAAATCGTTAATTCAAAGACATCATCTATGCTTAAATATTCATCATCAAATTTATATATCTTTTTCATCAAAAGTATATCATCTTGTTTCTTCTCATGAAGTGCTCTTGTCTAAATTAACTTTTCCCAAGTATCACAAATAAATTTTTCTGATCAAAGATATATCAAGCTTCTTCTCATCAAAGATACATTAACTCATCTTCATTAAAGATATCACAAAAAAATTTATGAAAGCCCTCTCTTATATTTACATCAAATGTTTGTCATCACAGACACCATATAAAACTTATATTCTAATTTAGGACATAAATCAATACATTTTTATCTTCTTCACCATTACAAAAACAAGGCCTTTTTGAACTTCAGTATATTGGGTAATATAAAACTAAAAGAAAAAAAAGAGAGTGAAAATCACTTGTATGAAATTAAGATAAGGTGAATACTGTAAAAGTAATCAAACATTCTCTGCTTTACAGCATCAATAATCATGTTTGCAGTTAAATATCACCAAGAAATTTGAATATTCTACATACATTAGGATTGTTATAGGATGTGTTTATGATGAATTTTTGAACTTCTTTGTGAAAAACCTGATTATACTTTTTAAATTACCCAAGAAATGATCAAAATGAGATATTTTCACAAGAGGACAACGTGCAATGTTCTTCTATTAATTTGTGTGATGGTGACCTATGTTTATTTTATCCAAATTACCTCGAAATGACATACAAGAAATTAATACAATTATTTAAACTAAAAAAAAAAATCCTCATGATCTTTATCTATTTTACATAAACTTATATCAGTATGCAGAATAAAAATACATTATTAAGCATGTTATCATGCCTATAGATGGTATCTACAAAATCAATATCTAAACTAATACTTCAATAGAAACCAAATGAATACATCACATTTTCTATTTGTTCTAGAGAGGGCATAAACAGATGTATAGACTAGTACTAACTGAAACTCAATGAATGCATTGTTTTCTATCTGTCCTACAGGTGATGTATACTTATGCAGTGCCACATTAAGGCACTGGTAGGCTTTAAGCGAACTATAAACTAGTGCGTCTTGGAGACTAGTGGGCTCCCCTTGTTTTAAGAAAATACCATATGGTTTGATAAACTAAAGTGATAAAAAATATCAAGGAAATAAAAAGGGAAAAACAAAATATACCGAAAAAACTGGTTTATTATCATTATTACTTATTATTATACTTGCAATGCATGGTGGGCCCTTGGCAACTGCCTCTTTTGTCCATTGGTAAAATGGTCCTGTACTGATGTCTATACTAGTACTTTAACTTTAACTCAATAATTGCATTATTCTCTGTTTGTTTTAAAGAAAATATTTATAGGTATCAATACTAATACTAAAGCTAAAACATAATAAATAACTACATAACTTGCCTGTTCTTCAAAGTCTTTATCATTATACTAATATCTTAGCAAAAGCTTATTGCTTACACCAAGGATTGCATTCTTTATACAGAAACCAACACTAATTCCTCATTTGAAATTGGCATACACTGGACTCCATCAAGTCTTCTATCAACTCAACAGAATATGATCTATACTGCTTTTAAAAGTAACTAAGATTTTTCTGACACAAATTGTACCTGCGTTCGGATTTTTGACTACGGGATTCAGCACTACTCAGAGAAGTGCGTTCATCTAATTCACTGAAAAGGCCAAGCTGAGTAGACAATTCCTCATCACTTATGGAATGATCATCAGGCTGAATGAGAGAAAGTCTGTGTCAGTACAATATAACAACATTAACAAGTATATTATCATGTGCAAGACAAAGATGATTTTTTATTAGTATTGTAACATCCTCATATGACTAATCACCATATGCAACAAGACAACTTCTGTACTATTACTAAATGAAGAAGTTTTGTACAAACAACTTATCATAACACAATTCAAAGATGTTTATCAGTATGGTACAACCCTAATATGATTTGACCTCACTCATTGCAACTATTATTATGCCTGTTTATACCCTTACACAGGCTACATTACTTTACTATCTCTACATGGCTTGTTACCAAATGTGATGTTAAGAAGATTGTCACATTATAAAACACTAACATTATTGACATTGTTTAGGATGTTAAACAGTTTATTGCTAGTATATTAATACTCTCTGAAGGATTATCAGAATGCATTTATGTGATGTTAAGTTTTGTAGAAGCATTAACATTCTCACGACCTTATATATACATTATGTAAAGAAATTTCTTTATTATTGCTAACACTAGCAAATGGCTAGTTATTAACTGTAAAGTGAATAGTCATGTGTCACTCTCATGGATTATCACTATATGTGATGTCTTGTTCAAACAATTATTTTACACTCTATTCCATCCCACTATGTTTAATATGCAGGCCTGTTTTAACATGATAATACCCTCATAAGACTTTCCATTCTATGTGAAGTGAAAAGGTTTTCTACTAGTTTTAGTAATATCCTCAAATTGCTTATAATCACACGTTATATGAAGAAGTTTCAATCAATATAGTAATACCCTTAGACAATATCCCCTCTTACACTGTGTGATGTATTGGTATAACAGTATGTCGTATCTTTGCAACAGTAGTAATCAAAGTAACATACTTTGGTAAACTTGTGATTGTTACAGTAATTTAAGTTTTAAGAAAAATAAAAATTAATCCCCCCTGATTCAATAAATTTACATGTTAAAGCTCTTATTATTTGTGAATTTATATTTTCAGAACATATGTATGCATTTACAGTTCTGTTTATTACAATACAGTTCAGTGCTAATCACCGCATTACATCTTTTAGACATTTCAAACACTACAATACAGTTCATATTATTAGCTGTTTGGACTTATCTAAAACCTTTATAGTTGTGACAGTCAGCTCTTACTTTAGCTCTATTTACCTTGTACATTGTCTACAATAATTACAGATCAAAATAAAACTGAAGCATGGGAGTAAATTAACAAATTACATTCAATATAGTTGGGAAAAGTTTCAGAAATACCCCTTCCTGATTTTTTTTATTTTTTTACAAAACCATAAGAGGAAGAGAGCTGCTGAATATGTCATCTTCTGATAAACAGTTATCATTACTTTTTATTTCTTCTGGTAAAAAGTACTTTGCAACACATTATATATAAAAGTGTAGTGTACATAGATCTAGCACGACTATTAGCATTCACCTTACTTAAATTTACAAAACCTCATTATTTTTTAGACATCATACATAAAATTCCAACTTATGTCAGGCTAGCATTGTATCTAGCATTCAACTCATTTAAGTGTGAGTATTATTAAGTAAATATCGCTTTACAGAATTATTGGGAAGATCCTATTAACTATGATAAAAGATTTTTAGATAAAAGTTTTATAACACTAGCTAAGCATGTTGAACAATCATTTTGGTTTTATTTCCATAAAATCCATATATTTCAAATACATATGATTAAAAAAAAACTAATTTTTCCCTTTACAATATCGACTGTTTCTAAATGTTACTAATGTTAGAAGATGTGAATGCCTAAAATCCACTTGTTTCTATTAATTTAAATGAAAACTTTATACCTCATTTAAGATGCTTTCCAGGGTAGGCAAATTTTCCACTGGTGGAATACTGTATTCTTTGTCATCGAGCTGTAACAAAAAAAATTCATTTGTTTTAAAAATGTGAGGGTTTTGCTAAGAAGTTTTGCTTTATTCACTAAGAACATTGGGGCTCTTGCCACAAGAGAAGTAAATCACATCTAACAACAATATTACATAACAAACAAGGACAAGGACCTGTTGTTCCATCTATGCTGTCCCATCCACTATACTAAACTACTAAAATAACTCAAAACCAGCACTTATCATTCAACTATTTATTATGCTTTCCCTTACTCTACCTTAAATTTACTGCTTCCACCACATCTGAAGGCAACCCATTCCACAAGCCAGTTACTCTATTAGAAAAATAAAATTGCAGTGGAGTCTCAAGTTATTATTACATATTGCTCATTTATTAATATAAAAAGATATAAAGCTATCTTGTATTATAGTGGTGACAACAATTTAGTTACAAGGCATTGTCATGCAGTTTCTAACTGAAGTTGTTCTTAACTGTTCAAAACCACACTCCTGTTGCTAGAATTTTCTTAAATGTGAAAATCTGTTTTTAAATGGAAATTTGAAAGAAAATATTAAGCTACAAGCTGTGCTTGTAAACTCTGTGTATAAAATGACAGAAAGTTTGCTTATGAGAAATATTTACAAGCTTTTGTTAGAGATATTGTTGTATACATATTAGATGGATTTCTTTACATTGAGTCAGTGATTTGTGTTTCGGACATTTATCATCATCATAATAATAACTAATAAACACAAACAATAATTTAAAATGCTATTGCAAAAGAGCATGCTTAATCTACTATATGATTTCTGGAGTTCGTATAGCTGTCAGACTCATGCTGTTTTTGTTAAATAGAAGAAAATTACTCAGTAACATTTCTCAGTAGTAATATCAGTTCTGACAGGTAAAAAATTAGAATCTATTTGTACTGAAAGAATTAAGTCATTCCCTATCTGAATATCAATTGCCTTTGGTCAGGAGTATAAGTAACTGGTCCATAGTAAAATGAAATATTTATGTGATACAAAAGTACTTAATGCTAAATGTTTGCTAATGTGATTAGTGCAATAGCCAGACATTTTAAAGCACCATTAAACAAAATGTTTTATGTAGTGTACATGGACTAATGCTAGGTGACACATATGAGGAAACTGAAACAAAACATTAGAATATTAAATGGAATCAATTCTTTCATGTTAACTTTCTGCCATTAATGTTTAACTAAACAGATAATTAAGACCAGAATATATACACTGACATTGCTTTGTGTATCAAGAGAGAAGAAAAAGTAGACCCTCCTCTTTGAGTTAGAGCAATCACCTGTCTTTGTTTCTTCTATGTTTCAAGAAACAACTCTACTCATGCAGTCACCACCTTAATCAATTCAAGTATTTATAACAAGAGTTAAGGCCAAATAAAATTAAAATGGAAGGAGGACAAAAATCAAATATGTAAGCCTCTTTCTTCCATCTGTGTTAGGTCAGAAGACAATGAACAGATGCCTTAGGATTAGAGAGTCGCAACTGTTACTTCTGTTGTTAAAAAGGGTGATAAGTATTGTCCTGGAAATTATAGACCAATTAGTATAACTTCTGTAGTGGGAGTAGACAGATAAAAGAAGTACTGCAAAATGATTTAGTGGAATATCATATCATAGAAGAGAGTTAACTCAGATTCAATACAAAGAAATCTTGCTTCACTTATACTTTTCTTGAAAATTTTATTTATTATATGGATATTGAAAAAAAAAAAAGTGGCCTCGATATACTTAGATTTTCAAAATCGTTTTTGATAAGGTGCCACACATAAGATCAGCTTAAAAAATCACATCAGTGGGAGCTATGAAAAAGACAAGCCTGAAGGGTGGCTGCATAAGAAAAAGCAAAAAAGTTATTAATCAAGTATAGTTAGACTGCAATTTCGCAACTAGTGGAGTGCTTTGAAGGTCACTGCTGGAACAATTGCTTTTTCTTATTTATTTTGATAATATTTATAAGGGCATAATTAGTTAAGTTTCCTGATGACATTAAACTCTTCTTTCAAGCTGTACTGAGAAAGTTAAGGTAGTACAGAATGACTTGGTTCGACTGAAAATATGGATCACACATTTTATGTAGATGGGAACCTACTGAAGAAAAGAAATCTTGAACTGTGGTAGACAAGGTAAGTCCCTTGAGTCTTTGAGGTAGTGCTCTGTTGGTAATGATAAAGTTAAAATAACTTTAGAATGTATTTATAGACATATTGATTACATAACAAAATAGGAAATTATCTCTTTACACAACACACTACTCAAGAGTAACTTGGAATATTGTGCACAGGTTTTAGTCTCCTTATCTAAGAAAGGATACTAACTTATTGGAAAGGGGTTCATAGGAAGACAACTAGTTGATTCTTATAAGGACAGGTTAAGACCTCTTATTTTCTATTGTGAAAAGTAGGGTGAAAAAATTTCATACTGAAGTTGGTGAAATTATCTAGGGGATCACTAAGATAAGAGATTATAATTTATTTGTGCAGAATTTAAAAACAATAAGAATAAGAGAGACAAGTTTAAGATTTGGAAGACAGACTAGACTACAGTTAAGACAGGTTAGTCAATGACTTCATGAAAAATATAATTAGGTTTGATTCTTTAGGTGTGCAGAAACAGCTTTGTTAATGTTAAAAAGAAGATTGCACAATGTAGTCTCTAACCAGACTAAATGGCCTTAGAAACTAAAGAGGATTACACTATACAACAACAGTGACAGAAGAATCATAAAATAAAGTAAAAAAATGCATCTGACATTAACTATCATGCTTTCACTGGAAACTTTGTAGAAATGAAAAATGACTTAATAATTTACTCAAGAACAAAAATATTTAAATATTTCAACTTAATTTGAATAACAATTTCCAAATCTATCACAGTAATTTACTAAAATTTATTTATTTTTTCCTGGTTAATGCAATCACAATAAATAATTAAAAGTAAACTTTAAAAGGAATAGGATCTTTCTAGAAAATTATAAATCCTCCCATTTGAACATAACTATAGCTTTGAACCTGAAGTTATATTTTACTAACACTTATATAACTATGTTTTTCAAGTACAAAAGTTGCAATTAAACTTCCATAGACATTATAGAAACTTGAAACAAAGAAGTTATAGAAAATTACAAAGACAGAATATGGAACTCTGCATAGAACATCAGGTTTGATATCAAAAGTTTGTAGGATTATGTGAAAGATAGCTAGAACCTGAATGTTACTAAAGTGAGTGTCAAGTTCAGCTTTGCAGTCCTTAAGATTTTAAGTAGTGAAAAAGCATTGCAAATTTTATTAAAGAAGGAAAAATTATCAAGATGAGCTTCACAATCCTTAAGATCTTCTTAAGTGGTGAAAAACACTGTTAAATTTTATTAAAGAAGGGAAAAAAGTAGTGAGGGTAAAGCTGTGTGAAGCTCAATGTTGGGGAATGAGAAAATTCCTCAGGATTGATAAATTACTGATGTGGTTCCTTATGTATAAAAAGTAAATACTGTGGAAGAAGGAAACAATATTAAAAATATATCAGTTTGACTTCTACTGATGAAATCAACACGTATGACTTGGAATCGCCTGAAGGATAATCTTAAAAACTAGTAACTGATAAATAGTACTTAACATGGATTTATGAAAAGGACTTCTTGTTTCATCAGGACAGATATTTTTGATAATGATGACTTCAATATTAGATATATAAAGCACAAGCTCTGGAAACCTACAAACAGATACTTTCTTATACAATTTATTTTTCTCTGCCTGAAGTTTTAACATTTAGATACACTTAGTTTGTCCAAAATGTAGTTTTAGCTGACAGTTAAGATTCTTTCAAAATTTTATTGAGCACAGTTAATAGTGTGAAACTTGACAACTTTGCACTATATGCCTAAGAAATTAAATTTTGGTTGGTGGCAGCATAGCAGCAAACACTGTGGCTGATTTTCTTCATGAAACCTTTAGATGTAATGTCCTTTTGAACAGATTTTTCCAATATCTATAGATGCAAACACTGTGCCTGATTTTCTTTATGAAACCTTTGGATGTAATGTCCTTTTGAACAGATTCCCCAACATCTATAGATGTAGATTATCCTTGCATCAAATGTAAACTCGTTTAAACAATTATGATTTTTTTTTTCTCTTAGGTTATTTAAAAGTAAACTCAACACAACCCAAAAACTTAAGTAGTAGTTCCCAGGACACAAATAACAGTGTTATGCAAAATATATCACATCATATAACAGCAAGAACATTTTGAACATTTCATTCTCAGTCGACTAATATCCTGAGTATGAAGTGCAAATTTTGCCAAGTTTCATGCTATTTACATGTCATATAAAAGCTATTACACACACAAAACACTTGTGGTGAACCACTGAATTCAACTGACCTAAATGTTTGAAGTGAGTGACATTATAAGGTTGAGCAGGGAGAAAATGTGGAGAAGACCTAGTCATTTTTCTTTTTTTATTGTAACTGATTATCTAGGGTTAAGATGTTAATAAGATTTCATTTTAATTCAGAAATGTGGATTTTTCATATTTTATTCTAAGAATATTTCTATCTTCTTGTTAAATTACTTACTCTCTAAAATATTTTAATAATTATTCCACCTTAGTGTTTTAGTGTGTGGGAATCAATCTATCAGAGAGCCTTGTGTAACAGAAAAGACATATTGTTTTTCCCAGTTTTTCAAATAGACTTCATATGTGATATACAAAGTAGAGCATTATAATTTAAAAGAAAACATGTCTTTTGAAAGTGAGCACAGGAACATATAAAGTACACATTCAAAAACTAGCACATATGATTGGAAAGTGTTATTGTTAACATAACAAAGACAAATAATGTTTAAAGCAAATGTCATATTAAAGCAAGAATATGAGATACCAAGAAAGAAACACCGATACCTGATGGATGAATACTCTACTTAAAAGAAACCTTAATGTTTTCACAAGCTTATTAGAATGCTAAATAATATAAACAAACTGCTGAGGTCACTCTTTTAATGAAAAGGAACAACTGCACATGGAGAGAACAAAAAAAATGGTTTGTGCTAAAGGCTAGTAAATAACTGAAATCCACCTTATTTCTAAAAATGTAACTTTCTAAGAGAGTATTGTACCTCTAAATACATGAGAAGGAATCTTTATATTGAGCATCAAAGCATGTTTCTGTAATCCACCAGGATATAACATATGGATATCAAGGAAATTGTGAATTCTCCTCTTTATGTCTTGTAAAATGTTAAAATCCACTACTGCTGACATCAACTGATTTTATAAGTAAATCACTTTGTAAAAAAAATAAAATCTCATTGGATTTAGAGCCTAGTCTGTCTATTCCAAGTCCTAAACTTGTGTCCTCTAGTTTTATTTCTTCAGAATGTACGCCTTTACCCTAATCATCCCTTAAATAATCTTATAAACTCCAATAATTTCACCTCATTGTGTAGTCAGATCTTTATCAAGCCAATGAAACAAAAGATCACCTTACCTTTCTTTTTCTGAAAAGAAAATAACTTGATATATCCTAACCTATTCCTATAAGCTAACTTTTCCACACCTGGAATTATTTTAGTAGACTTCCTCTGAATTTTTCCATCTATATTAAATGTGTGATTCAAATTATGATAACCCAAGTGCATCACCTCACACTTACTATAAATAAAGGTTAATTAGCAAACATTTGTTCAACTAACCAACTGACCCAATTCATGCTGTCATACCTCAAAATATTCATGACAGCTAGAAATATAATAGTTTAGTGTCATTATAAGATTTAACTTACTAACTATTCCCCTATTGATATTATAAATGTAAATACAATTGAATTTTGTATACAAGTTTGAAAGAAATATATCACCTCTAAATGTGGAAGAGGTGCATTGATGACATTAAGAAGTAAGAATCAGGAACAGAGCCAGTCTCTTCCAACTGAGAGGGCTGAGGTAGGCTAGACAAAAAAACTGAGGGCTGCACTCTCATCTTGGGGGCACACATACTTTAGTATTTTGGAAATTAACCTGCTTTAACAATAGGCACTTAAATATGCATCCAACATTGCCTATAGTAGATACTACAATAACAGAAAATGAATTTTTCATTGGGTGCAGTCACTAAAGGGGAAGCTAAGGCACATTTTGCCATAACTTCAGAACAGCACCACCACCCCTCCTCCTCATTGTCGACCACCCTGAGAATAACACAGTTAATGGTATAGATTAAAAGCTGTTTATACAGTATACGTTTTATATGATAAAGCTTGTAGTTCATGCTTTTTAAATTTCGAAGATAATTCAAAATATTTATTTGATTTTTCGTTTGGCCTGATAATAACAAGGGGTTCTTTATAAAGTTAAAAACTGAACGTCATTTTTATCCACATAAATTAAGTTTGCCTTATTGAACTTATTCTGATATTCAGTTATTGTCGACTCAAGGCAATAATATTATATTAAATTAACTCAGTGTTAGTCATGAGGTAGGGTGATAGCCCGAAACGTTAACAATACGAATAAATACTTCTTTTGTAAAAAATACTTAATTTTTGTCACACTGATTTTCATTTCTGAAACGATTACTGTCAACTACTTATATTATAAAGTATAACTTTTAAGTATAAATAGCGTTTAGCCCTTCTTTAGTTCTTAGCACTGAAGTGAAGAATGAAGTTGAACTACATGTGTTAGAATTTATAATCATAGAGTAAACTACTATTATTAATATTATATTTATAAAGTAAACCATCCATCATTGTTTTTCTTAACTAAAACTAATCAAAGCTAAGTATTCTAATTAACAACTGAAACAAAAGCAAAAACCTCTTCTATTTCAAAATCGAGATCAGAAAAGTCTGTCAGAATTTTGTCCGTATTTACTGGCGACGAACACTCCCCCTCTTCCATTACTACGGTTTCCATGGGGCAGGTGTTTACGAATGATTTAGCAAAAAACCCAGGCTTATGTGACACCTTAAACCTATTTATTTTTCACGGTCAAGAGAAATTACTTTTTAAAGTAGAATACCCGCGTCACTGACAGGAAGTACTTTTTTTTCATTACAGTAACATTTCGACCGTCCTACCGCGTCCATTGAATTATTACATGCCATATATTTAATTACGGAATCGAGTGCTGTATATCAATGCCTTCCCAATAATATCAGTATTTTTTCAAAAATCTATTAAATAAAGTTTTACTTATATGACAGCTGTAATTATATGAGATTAAAAGAGAAATTAAGAAATAATTATTAGGATGGTTAAACATTTGTAATTTATATATGTATGAAAATAAGAAATATTTAAGTTGTACCATTTCCAACAGTTTGTTGAACACTGTTGCCCCTATTTACAAGGTTTTTCGTAGACGTAGAAATTGTAAGGCTTTCTTTTATTTTTCGAAATGTTCTTCTTCTGTCAAAATTGTAATATAATTATGGACAACAAGGGACATATTGATCCATCTCCGTTCCATCCACTACACTAAATTCTAAATTAAAGATTAAATACTCCATCCAGCCTTTATCCTTCAAATATTTACCAAGCCCACCTACCGCCTCGTCCCCCAGTGGCACAGCGGCATGTCTGCGGACTTACAACGCTAGAATCCGGATTTCGATACCCGTAGTGGGCAGAGCATAGATAGCCCATTGTGTAGCTTTGTGGTTAATTACAAGTAAACAAACAAACCTACCGCCTCTGAAGGCAACCCATTCCAAAGGCCAAACACCCTATTAGAAAATAAAGCTTACTCTTACCTTGCCAAAATTTATATTTGTGTCCCCCTAGTCTTCTTACCATTCTCACCATTAACTAGGAAAAGATATGATGCATCAACACTATAAATTCCCTTAATAATCTTAAATACCTCAATCAGATCTCTTCTTTCTTCCAAGAGAAAACAATTTCAGAGATCTTATCTTATCCTAGTAAGACAAGCTTTCCATTCAAGGTATCATCTCAGTGGCTCTCCTTTTAACCCATTCCAATAATTCAATATCCTTTCTAAGGTAAGAATTCCAAAACTGGACACAGTGTCCAAACCTGGCCTAACCAATGACCTACAATAACATTATAACCTCTTTATACCTGTATTCAATATGTATTTCTGTAGATACAACCTAAAGTCCTGTTTGTCCTGCCACTAGCAACAGCAAATTGCTTGGATGTTTTAAGATACCAATCAACCAGAACACCAACATAATTTTCTTCCAACATTCTGTTAAGGTTATACTCATCAAAATTATACTCAGAATTCAAATTGTGATCTCCCACACGCACAATGGTTTATATACAATCTAGTTTTATACTTACTAGGAATCTTCTAGATGTTGGGTCATTATTTCATAATGTCATGTTCCCTCTAGCAAACAAATATGTAAATTAAAATAGTAAAATACTGTTACGTCTCCGTTTGTTAATTAACTTTCCGTAACTTCGTTCCGACGAAACTTTAGCGACACAAGTCCTTAATTAATAAAACTGGTTTATTCTTTCCGAATACAACTTTACGATACACTTAATTTCAATATTCGCGCTAAAACAAACACTATAACGAACGAACGTTAACTTCAACAATACCCTGTGACTGCAGTTCAATTACTCATTACCTACACACACATTACATTCACGTTGTCACCCTCTTTTATATACCAGACTACCCTATATCTAGTAAATACTAGAGCATTCGCCAAGGTACAGGATAGTTCTAGAAAATAGGTGGCGCCACACCAGTCACGTGACCTCGATGACGCAACAATACATATTACAGCAATGTGGTATACAAGTGAATTGATGGGATATCATTTATTATTCTTAGTATTGATTTTCTTTGTAAGTTTATGGATGAAATGACTAAATTATCCTTTTTTTATAGTTTTAAGCTCATTTCTTTTTAGGAACAGTTGTCACTTTTTATATTCGTTTGAGAATGCCTTATTTTTCATGGATTGACTGGTGGAAAGAAGAATGGGGATATCAGAAGGTATACATTGATTTGTATAAGGTCACAAGGGATAAAAGTTGTCTGGAAAATATTTGAAGCTTGAACAAAATCTAAGCTCAAATATTGCATTTCTTTTTAGATGCTCATAAAAATCTACCCGAAATCTTTAATAGTGACACTGTCTTGTGTAGAGTTATGGTTTAAAGTGGCCATTCGCCATTTACCACCTGAAAACGCAAATATAGCTAAAATTCTAGCAGCAAACTGAGCAAAGTGAATAGAGAAACAAAATTACCTTCTACAGAGCAGTCTGTCAGTGCTACTAAAGGTTTATAAATGGTTAAAAGTATGATAGTCTCATGATATTTTCTCTAAGAGAGGAAATTGCATAGCCAGAGGCGACTACGTAAATATAACAGCAATGTTTTAGTTCAAAATATTGGATTATGACCCATGTCAAGAATATGCTGTTGTAAGCTATATTTTTAATATCTTAATTTAAATATTTACTAGAGGAAGCTTATAACCATGATAATGCAATACACAGAATATTCATCATGATGTAATAATCAAGAAGCTTTGCAAAATATCCAGGAAACAACGGGCATGATTATAAGCAGTGAGTAAATAAGTTGATTGTGAATGGGAAGTTAGTAAAATATTTAGTGAGTGATTCAGATCAGTCTTTGTAGTAGTGATAGGGAAATAGGGCTAAAATCTTGGAAAATAATGCATTTAGAGGCAAGGGTGGACTTTTGTTTAGGTTAAGCAACCGGTTTCAAGCATTTGCTAGTGATGAGGGGAGCAGGTAAGGGAAACAGATGGGATCACAAGGGATGACATTGAAAAGTTTAGGGAGGTTATAATGTAGGTGACTCTCTAGTTAGGCATGTAGGTAGAGTATTTTTTGTGGAATAAATAGAATCAAAAGAATACGCTTATGCTATCCAGGAACAGGGGTACAGGATATAACTGATAGAACCAGAGAAATGGTTAAGGGTGCTAGTAGCAATGCAGTTTTCGTGGTACATGTTGGGATTAATGATGCAAGGAAAGATGGATCTGAGGAGCTTATTGATAAGTATAAAACATTTATAAGGGCAATTAAGGAAAGGGGTCATAGCTTGATTTTGTCAGAGATATTGCCAAAAATAAATTGTGGGGATGAGACACTAAGTAGGTCACTAGGATAGAATTCCAGGCTCAGATGAATATGTAGGGATGAGCAAATAATGCTAGAACTATTAGAAATAAAATTGATCAGTTCAAAGCAGTTCTGGAAACTGAGGATTTTGATATTGTAGGTATCAATGAGACTTTGTTGGATTTGAACAATTTTTACGAGGGATTTTTTTTCGAAATACCAGGCTACAGATTATTTACTAGAGATAGAATTGGGAAAAAAGGGGAGGAGTAGCTTTATATGTGAGGAGTGAATTGTACCCTGTTGAGTTAGAGCATATTAAAGAAATAAGCACTGAGGTTGAGTCAGTTTGGGTTAGTGTTAGTGGATATAAAGGGAAAAGTCTTGTAATTGGGATTTGTTATAGACCACCAGGTCAAAATGTGGAAGTTAATGAGAAACTGTATAATGAGATCAGAATGGAAGATTTTCATTTCAGGGGTACTTGCATTGAGGGGGATAGGTTTTGGAAATTGTTCAGGATACTTTTATACACCAACTGGTGATGGAACCTCCAAGAGAGGAAGTTATATTAGATTTATTATTAGCATCTGATGTGAATATGATATACAGAGTTGTGGTTGGTGCGCATTTAAGTACAAGCGACCATTGCACTATTAAGTTTGGGATTTTACTACATGCAGAATTGAGGAAGAATAACACCCTGATTCCAAATGTCAGGAAAGCCTATTTTGATGGAATGAGACATGATTAGTCTTCTGTAGATTGGAATAAAAAGTTGAGAGGGGATCTTGAACAGATGTGGGAAGCATTTAGGGAAAAATATATATGCATAAAGAAAATACATATTCCCTATAGAAAAAAGGACAACAGAGTGGAACAAGCCAGTATGGAGATCATATCAGGGATAGACATAATAAATTCAAGAAATTTAAACTTACTGGAAATAATAAGAACTTGGAAAACTGGTTAAAAAGGAAGTTAAAAGGGCAAAAACCTGTATATAAACGAGGGTTAATTGAGAGAGTTAAATCAAACAATAAGGAATTCTTTAGGTATATGATGGGTAAAAAAATGTCAGGATAGGGATTAGAAATGATAGTGGGGGAGCTGATCTCGGAAGATCATGAGATGGTAAATTTGTTAAATTATATATTCTCTTCAGTTTTTACGAAGGAAGATACAAGCATTATGCCTCAACCAGAGCACTTAATGTATGGGGAGAATATTGATGTAAAATATATCATTTTAAGTTCTGAAATTGTATTTATTTGTTTGAAGTTAAGCATTAAGCTACACAATTGACTATTTGTGCTCTGCCCACCACAGGTATCAAAACTCGGTTTCTGGTGTTATAAGTCCACATACATGCTGCTGTGCCACTGGTGGGTCTCTGAAATTGTAAGAGAAAAGTTGGGAAACTAAAAATTGATAAGTCCCCTAGACCAAACAACTTTTATTCTAGAGTTTTAAAGAAACTCAAATATTTTATTTGTGAACCGCTAGCTAATATTTTTTAAAGGTCACTGAGTAGTGGAAGAGTATTAAAAGATTGAAAATTGGCTAATATTAGTCCAATATTTAAAGGAGGTGATAAACATTGTCCATGCAGTTATAGACCAATTAGCCTTACATCAGTGGTTGGAAAGGTTTTGGAGAGTGTGATTAAAGATGTATTGCAAATTCACTTAAAGCAGTATGATATAGTGTCAAAGAGCCAGCGTGGTTTCACTAAGGGAAAATCTTGTTTAACAAATCTTCTGACATTGTTTGAGGATGTTACTGAAAGAGTTGATAAAGGAAACACTATGGATTTGGTTTATCTTGAATTTCATGAAGCATTTGATAAGGTGCCTCACGAAAGACTTGTTGCAAAAATTAAATATGTGGATGTGAGGGAAATGTTATTAAATTTATAGAAAATTGGCTGGAGAGTAGAAAGCAGAGAGTAGTAATAAATGGAGTTATATCTGACTGGATTACAGTTACAAGAGGCGTGCCTCAGGGCTCTATCC